AACGAATAAATGAATAAATAAAAATTAAAATAAATATATATTTTTTTAAATGTTTCAACATAAGTTTACAAAGCAACATTGACGGTTCATTAATGTCGGGCCAACATTACAATGTCGGAAGTTTTAATGTAAATGTTTTTGTCATTTTTCAATAATAAAACTGTAAACAACCTTTGATTTTGATTAAAATACAGAATTATTTATGACATATTTAAAAACCAAAAACATACTTAAACTTTAAGTATAAGCATATTTACTTTTACATGTCGATATTCTTAAACAAAACGTATAATTTTCTCTATTAAACTATGTTATTCTCGACGTATTTTGCATTAAATATAATTATACTTATTTGAAAACTGTAGTTAATTATATCACAATATATTTCATGTAAAATGTACCGTTATACATAAATTAAATTCAATACAAGAAATTTACTGGAGTAAACGAATTTCTTAAATCATATTAAACGCGACTTTTCATGTACTGTTAGTCCTAATTTTTCTGGTGTTTCTTTTTAACTTTTCCTATTATTATTATCCTTACCGATGTTGTGCAAACAATTTCTGGTAAATGCGTGGATGGATTTTCATGAAACTTTCAGCAAAGATGCCGAACTAAATGAATTTGAAAGTGTTTTTTTTTTCTTAATTTGATTATATCTCTTCAAGTCACAGTTTTTGCCGATTTTTTTTTTAATTAAAAGTGTCTCGTAAAAAAATGATGCAAGAATCAGTCATTAAACTTTCTGGTATAAAAAATAATGATCTGTAGTTAATTAATTGAAAGTAATTTTAAAATATGATTTTTTCTTTATGTTTCAAATATTTATAACAGAGCAATGAATGCTGTTTCAATCAAGTCATTTCATATCCACCAGAAATTGTTTTGCTAAAAGAAAGATGTCATTAAATGCACAGAATTTATCTAAACGTCAAGGAAAGATTGCACACATTCATTTTGGAGTATATTTTTTGATAGAATGATTTGATACTCAGAATATAATTACATATAAAACATGAAGAGAAGATAATATTGTCATCATGCGCATACCTGTACATGCGCAGGTGTGCAATGGGTAAAATGTCTAATATAATTAATATAGCCTAAATTCTTATGAAACTTTGATATTCAGAATATAAAAAAAAACTGAATTAAAAGGATACACAAGTTGACAGGGTCAGCTTGTACATAAATGCACGAGCATGCGTTTGTAATGCGCAAAACTCAATTTACACTAATGTTATGATGCACCAAGGGAATAATACTTTTTAAAGGAGTTGGGGAGTGTTAGGGGGAAATCTTTAACGATCTCCGTTAAAAACTAATTTTTGTTCAAATTGCATACATTTAATTATTTATGGGAATAGAAACCGTTTTGTAAGAATAAAACTTAATAGTCATAATATAGCTTTGATATATTTTCTTTTTATTTATTTTTAGTCTATCTAGTAAGGCGATTTTCCTGCAATGGATACCATGGTCTACTGAAAATAGAATGATATTCAAATTGCCTAAGTATCTGAAATCTGATATTCACACTATGATCTTCCTTGTCTATTTATTTGCAGTTTTATGATGTTTGCAACGCAATCCTCGTCCATTTGTTTGTTCCAAATATATATGATTGATTGATTGATTGAATGTATATTGTTTAACGCCCCTCTCCAGAATTTTTCACTCATATGGAGACGTCAACGTATGCCGGTGAAGGGCTTCAAATTTTGACCTTTACCCGGCACTCAGGGCCATTGAGCAGTGAGGGATCTTTATCTTGCCAACGCCTGCCGCTGACACGGGGCCTCGGTTTTTAAAGTCTCATCCGAAGGACCCTCAACTTTCACTTCAAAGTGCCGAGTGCATGGAAGGAACAGTTGCTACCCATTTTTTATCGACTTGGGTCAGTCGCGGCCGAGATACGAACTCACGACCTCCCGATCACGGAGCGAGCGCTCTACCGACTGAGCTACCGTGAACGGGCCAAAGATTTATGTAAGCATTAATGAAAAAAATGCAGATATATCTTCTTAATTGAAGACTTAACCCAAACGTGTTTATTTTTTCGGCCCAGTCAGTTGCTGGTATAGGACCGTTTACATCTAAAAAAAACCCCAAAGAATTTAATTGTTCAAATCATTTATCTTACTTTAAAACACAGTATGATTCTTTCATGCAATGTATACCTTGAAGCACAATACATCGATAAATTAAAAGCACTGTGAGCCAATAATAACACTTTTGTTGGTGTCAAAATTTATTTATCCAAATTAACAAAATCTCCGTGGTCGTGTAGATTTTTAATTGACAGTTCAGAAAGATGATGAGAAGAAACCAATACAATTTTTGAACAAATGTTTAAGATCTGTCCCAAAATATATAAGACCGTAGAACTAAACTCCAAAAAAAAATGAGAGTCCGAAAGATTAATTCCAAAAATAGTCCAAAAAGAGAGGTAAAGTGATTCAAAGGTATTCAGAAAGAACCCAAAGATGAATGATTCCAAAGAATGACATTTCCAGCAAAACGGTATTTTGTGCTCAGAGGGTATTCATAGTCCCGGATATAAAGGTACATTTCATTGTCTGTCTTACCATTACATACCACCTAAGTTTTGTCCGTAGGTTTTTTTTCCGTTGACCTATGAACCCCAACATGGCACCACCCTAAAATACAGGTAAACATACATAAGTAATATTTATGAACTCAGTCCCCATCTCTGCACCACAGGAGTGCTAAATCTTATATATTTTGGGACAGATCTTAAACATTTGTTCAAAAATTGTATTGGTTTCTTCTCATCATCTTTCTGAACTGTCAATTAAAAATCTACACGACCACGGAGATTTTGTTAATTTGGATAAATAAATTTTGACACCAACAAAAGTGTTATCATTGGCTCACAGTGCTTTTAATTTATCGATGTATTGTGCTTCAAGGTAAGTTTTGTCCGTAGGTTTTTTTTCCGTTAACCTATGAACTCCAACATGGCACCACCCTAAAATACAGGTAAACATACATAAGTAATATTTATGAACTCAGTCCCCATCTCTGCACCACAGGAGTGCTAGCACTAAGCTCTTTTCCTTTTCTACTTCAAAGTCCAAATTTTATTAATCTTGGTCAAGAATCTTAATAGTAACGTTGAATTTTTCGTAAGTTTTATTACTTAGTATCGATGGGATCTATTGGTCTTTTCTGATTACTTCCATTACAAAATGATTTACAAAATATAGTTCGTTGTAACAACAACAAAATCTACTAAGATAACTTTAGTTCATGGAACATAAGTCCCTTTTCCAATTATAAAGTCACTGTATGTGGTACACTTATAATGTACATCCAGGTTTAATAAACTTCTATTTTATTGTACTGTCTCAACTAAGTCCACTATTAATAACTAAAACTGAAGTTTAAAATGTTCAAAAAATAGCCGTTCTAAACCCTATAGGTTTACAGCCCTCTTCATCGCAGGATAATGTTTTGAAAACAGTTTGTTAAATAATTACAATTTATTATGATGAAGATAAAAAAATGATCAATCAATGGTATCAGTTGTCTAAGAGGGGAAAACATCCCTTCAAGTTGCTGTGACCTTTACTTAAAAATCAGATATAAAGACCACTCTGAAGTCAAATACAAGCAATGACCAAGCAGATGGTGTAAAACATGTCAGACTAAATACATCCCAACAATAGCTTCTTTTTTTTTTACAAACAATGTCAATATAACTATCAAAAGGAAATGAAAAAGTAATATTTTTCTAGGGAACAACAGACTCTCTTGATATAAAATTAAATTTGTTTTTTAGGAAAAATATTCCGACATTTCAAATAAAAGCCATGTATCGTGTCTTTGGAGAAATTTATTGGACTAATTACTTTATTGCCGTAAAGATAAACAAAAAAATAATTCAAATATTTGAATTACCGATCAAAGAAAATATACAATACTGACATAATGTATAATAATTCATTCAGATTCAAGTAAATGTTTGTATTATGAGCAATGGCAAACATCGTCTTATTGATGAATTCACTTGTCGTTAGAATGAGTATTTTTATCGTTGATTAAAACTCTAAGGAAATAAATATAAACAAATGGTTTTGTATGATATACTATTAAGAGCAAAATTGACGACAGACAGCTACCAAATACCCAAACATTAGTCTTTATTTTAACCAATAAAATACATTTTTATCCTTATACAGTCGCTTTCTTCATTATGTTTTTTTTTATAGAATGGAATCTTTAAAGAGGTAAATGCACGAATCCACCCAGTAATCAAAATAAATTACACATTAAACTCTATGATTCCTATGTTATAAAACATCTTAGTTTTATTTTTAAGAATATCTTTTCTTATGTTCTTTTTACAGTCGTTTTATTGAAGCAATGTTTTCTTAATCAATGCTGTCACGTCTTACGTTAAATTTGTAATGTTTATTGATTTTAATCTTGAATAATGACCGCTATTTTTGAATATCCCATGCAGTGGCGAGTGCACTTTTGACATTTCTATCTTGATTGTTCCAACATAAAAAATGATTAATTTTTTTTTTATTTAAAATGTGTATTGGCCATATCGTTTTTCTTTACGGCACCTGATCCCACCTTTGTTGTTTTAGAGGTCTGCGTTTGCCCTGCACCTGATATGTATTGTTTGAATGAACTTTTGAACATAATATTGTTCGTTATCTCAATATTTTTCATTCTTAAAAGAAAAAAAAACGTTATGAATATATTGTATATATTTTTTTTCACTAGAAAGATTTCATTCTAATGTCCATTTAGAAATATTCCTCTGAAAGATATATTTCTATTTAGTTCAAAGTTTAAAAAATAAAGATTATGCACGATCCTTTAAATTCATATGAGTATGGAATACCCTGAATAAAAAAAAAAATAGCTTGATATTTTATTTATTAATTTATTTTAAAGGCTGTCTTTTTTTCAAGCGACAAAAATTATCAAACAAATGACATCTTCATATAAATAAAATATTACATTAATACACGAGGAAGTGTGTTCATTCTTAACAGAGTTGCTTCCTGGATCTTGTGAGCGGGATATTGCTCTAATGAATATTGATACGACTGTAGAGATCCTAAGAAGTCTCCTGTAATTTGTTGACATATTCCTAGTATTTGCCAGGAAATATCTCTGATGTGAATTGGTACATTGACCTCATCATAGAGCAGCAGAGTGCGTAGATCCTGTAGAGATTGTTGTGACCTGACTGTGTCACCCAGTCTGTGGTGATTCAGTATTAGCAACATATGTAACATCACTAGAGGTGGGATTTGTAATGTTGCCAAGCCGTTCTCGTTATTGATCTTTTGTTCTAACTCTAGCTCGTCAATATAATTTAGCTTATGATGTAATCTAGTATCCAACACTACGACTCTCCTGAATTTGTTACCCAGGGATATCCGTGCAGTATAGTGTTCGTACATAACATTATTTACATTATCTCTGTACACAATAAAAGGGCATGTCATTCTCTCCTGTGTTTTCTGTAAACAACTGAGTGATTGTTCATATCTACGTGCTCTGTAGAAGACCATAGCAAGGTAGAGAGTCAATGACATATTGCCTATTTTACATGAAAAGTTTAACAAAGTGGTTACTTTACTGTATTTACCATAGACAATACGATTTCTATTAAGAAATGTGTTGTTTTCTATTAATTGTGCAGTGTCCTTTAATACATTTGATGTCAAACATTGTAGTGTAACTACCTCATAAGGTGTCAGTCTTTTTCTTTTAAATGCCTCTATTCTATTCATAAAATCTGCGAAAAACTCAAAAGAAAGGCCATATGTAAAGGGTGGTAATTCTTCAAATAAGCTAATATCTAGCTCAGTGCTTGTCATGAAACTGCTCTCGTCGGTAGAGACTCTCAATGTTCTGTATAAAATGGCCTTACTGATGTACGGACTCAGGGTTGAACTTAATACCAAACATGAAATTCCCTTTTGATACAAACCATACAAAGCATTGAACAAGACATTTTGTACGGAACCGGTGACTTTTACTCTAAACATGTTGTTTTGTGGAATAAAAAAGTTTGGACATTCTCCAATGCGCACCCAGTAAATCAATAATTTAAAACATTTCCAGAAATAGTATAGTAAGTTATCTGGTTTCCAGGGAAAAGAATGATTACTCTGAATTACCCAAAATACAATTGTTTTCATGAAGTATGAACAAAGAACTGGATAATTGTTTTGAAAATCAATAACTTCCTTTAAAAACAATTTCAAAAGACCATAACACAAAAACTGACAATGATTCATTGAATACACAAGCTTCTGTTCTGCTCTGGAAAATGAAATTCTCCATTCTTCATCATTTTCAGGTATGCTGCCGATAGGAACAACATGAATTCCTCCATTTATTATTTCCGAAATTACAATCTCAGAAGGCCATCCTTGTTGATGACATCTCTGTATCCATGGTAAAGCTGTTGTCGGCCAGTGGTGTGATCGAAAGCAAAGCACAAAATCAATTTCAAAACCTTGAACTTTGACATTGGATGAACAGGGTCCATGTGGAATGGAAGAAGCGAAAAAGGTATGGAGAGTCTTAATGACCTGTAAATTGTTACGTCGAAATAGTGTACTAGAAATAAATATTTTGTTATTCTTAGTTACACATGAGGACCTGATTACAAGATCATTTGAGGGACTTAACAGGTTCAGTCTGGTAAATCCTGGTGGTAGATCATCACACTCCATCAAAATCACGGTTTGTTGTGGGATACGGTAGAGACTGATCTGCGAGAGATCACATATCACCTTGTGGTCTTGGAGCCATAACATGTAATCAATATCCGAAGTTCTAAGTCTAAATCCTTCACGTTCACTCCCACTCTTCATTTCGTCTTGTTCCTTTATATTATTCTTTGATTTCATCATCTCCTCATAAGTGTCAATTACTTCCCTCCTGATTCTCACTTCCGTTGGACTCCCTATTTTATGACACAATCCCACATAGATGATCTCTGATAGTCGAGGTATGTGATCCATTACAATGTACTATAGAATAATTATATAATCTGTAAAAATACACACCTTAACAATGGATTATTAGATGCTTTTCTATTATGTGTATTTTTAGGGCAGTATCTATGAAGCTTTCATCAATGCCGTAATATTATAATACCGTATTTCCAATTTGAAAACTTAGACAACTAACTTGTCTCTTCAATATTTCATATGAAAGAAAATATTTCCATTGTAGGAATATTTTAAAGGAAAATGTAAATAAGATTAAGAAGTTCGAAAAATCGTATCCGTTCTATAGTTAAATTGAATTTAATATTAGTAATGATTTCAAAAACGACATACCTCTGTATTCAAACAATTACAATGATAAACTAACGGGAAACGTGAAGATCATGGTGTTAAATGACTGATGAAACTAATTGATATAAAATTCAATATCCGTCCGTGTTTTGTGTAAAATGAATATAAATGTACAAAATGTGCTTTCCATCACAATCAACCACTTCGGATACTTTCGGATAGAACATTTTTTGTTTGTTGAACTTAAACTCCCGAGAGTAGTATACGTCAATATAGCCTTGCTCATATCGCAAAATGCTGATGGTTTGTGTTTACATTTAAATTCAAAGTGACTTTGAGAGCAGTGCCAAATTTGAAAGTTCATGTATTTTTTTTAAATGTTTGTATCTGTATAATAAACAATTTATTGCATGAATGTTCGGGAAACATGAAGATTTATTCAGCCAAGAAATGTGATATTCCCCTCGAGCAAAGCCCTTTGGGAATATGATTTTTCTTGGCGGAGTAAATCGTCATATTTTCTCTACATTGTTCTGAAAATAGATCGGGAAATTCCAAATTGATACAAATTGTTTTCGAAAGCTATTTCAATTGCTATGACTTTTTCCTCATGTAAACGATACATAAGCAAATATATATTTTCAGGTGGGGGTGGTAATAGGGGATACAGGGATCCCCCTCCTACACTTTAACTAAACAGTTTTGTTTTACTTTTTTAGCTGTCATTTTTTCCTGATAATACTTCTTCCTTTCAATGTGTATCCCGTGAAAATGTTTGTCATTATTTAAGGAATCACTGTCTACTTCGTATCGTATGCCAGGGCATCAACGATGATGGGAAACATGGGATAATCTGCATATCGGTTGAAGCCCGTTATGTATAAATTGTCCCATGTTTCCCACTTTCGTTGATGTCCCTGGCATACTATACGAACTAGACAGTGATTCCTTATATTTCCATTTCATTGTGAAATAAAATTGTAGATTTATATATTTTTAAAATGTAAACATAGATTTAAATTACACGAGGACTTCTTTGCCAATTTCCATAGCCCTCGCCCACTGACGTCAAACACAAAGGCAGCTGCACGAGATTTTCATGCATATTTGGCATCCTTAGCGTTAGACACAGAGAGAGAGATGCCCACGAGAGTTGGATGCATATTAGGCTTCCCTAGCTCCTGACCTTACATAATTTACATTCTGGCAGATTTATCAAGAAATTAACTCTGTTACGTTTCCAAGAGTTATCACAGAGACAAAAATAAGAAATGGAAATATATCTTTTTTCATTGCAGCTACAATAGATTTAAAACATTTTGAATTAATACGATTGGCAAGGTTTATTTACATTTTGACTTTGCTTCTCTCTTTGTAATTAGCTACAACTTAAAATGCAAACAAGTAACGATTAATTTAATATTATCAGTGAATCAGATAATAAAAGAAACGTCAAGACAAGATGGATGCCATTTTTTTTTCTCTTTAAAATTTGACTTTTTTCCATAAAAAATCGTGTTTAAAGAAACACAAATTTCACCGTGAAGAGTTTTTGTAAGTCACCTATGCTAACTACCTTCCATGTTCAGATGAAGAGTGCTAAAAGATAAGGAATGGGAAGTAGTGATAAGCAATCAGCTGATTGCGGTAAACAAACGGATTGCGGTAGGAGATCAAATACCTATACTACTCTACATGTTTACTCTCTTATCAAGACCATCATATATCAATGTATGCTGCTTCTTGTGTTTTCTGTTGCTATCTGTGCGTTGCGTTCTATGTGCTACCCCAGAAATGTATGACAAAACATACAAAAATGAAAATTCTTCAATAACTGTAGTTTCGTTGAACAAGTATCAGCCTAGATTTCACATTCAGCTAAAGGGTTTTAAACAAATACACAGGAATGATAAATGTAAGAAAATATTTCTCACACTCATATTGATGCTCTCTGGGGATGTACATAGTAACCCCGGGCCAGTACAATACCCGTGTGGGGTTTGTGAAAAACCAGTCGTAAAAAATTACCTAGCATTGGAATGCAAAGGTTGTCAATACTGGGTCCACATTGAATGTGCTGGTATATCTCTCAAGGAGTACACACAGTATCAGACTAACAAACTACTATCATGGGAGTGCCCACAGTGTATACTACCTAACATTTCACAATCATTTTTCCTTGATCCAATGGAAACATACAATCCATATGACTCATTGTCGAGTGCATCAACATCATCAGACCTGTTGACACCAGACTTAGCAAATCAGGCAACAACTACATCTCTACCGAATTATCCAAAGTATAGAAAGAAAAAAAAAACACTAAGAATATTAAATATGAATGGCAGAAGCCTAAGAAGCCAAACAAAACGCCTCAATTTTTCGGTATTAATAGATCATTACAATCCACATGTTATACATACAACTGAAACCCACCTTGATAAGTCTATAAAAACATCAGAATTCTTAGATCCAGACTTTTACGAAGTGCAAAGTAAAGACACATTTTTTACCGAAGGACATGCAGGTGAGGGGGGGGGGGGGTGGTGGGGTACGTAATGCTGTGCGTAAAGATATCATAGTTTGTGGAGAAACAACAATAGAGACCAAATGTGAAATAGCATGGACAAAACTACAAGTGCAGAGCAGTAAACCCCTGTATACAGGGTGTTTTTATAGGCCCCCAGATAACGACACCGAAACATTAGAACGGCTTAACATCTCCCTAAATAGACTCAATCGTGGAAAGACACTACCAAATCTACTACTGACAGGAGATTTCAAACTACCCAATATTAATTGGGCTGACAATGCAGCAACTATAAAACCACGGTCACAGTATAACTACATGTTTGAAATCAATAATACGTTTCTACAAGTGGTAGGGGACCACAAACCAGATCAGTGTGTCAAAAAACCAACTCGTGAGAACAACATCTTAGATCTTGTACTTACCACCAACACCAAACTAATTAAAAGCATACAGTACAGGCAACGCGGATCCCGTATTAGACCGCGTCCCCTCCGCGGTGTATTAATCCTTTCCGCGTTACACCGTCGCGGGTTTTGATCGCGGTGCTACCCGAGACCGTGTTTACACCGCGGCGGGGCCCGCTGCCGTTATTCTTCAGCTTAGATGTTCTTACCTGTAAAGCATTGTCGATTTTTAATCGTGTCGAAATGAGGGGGGGGGGGGAGGATTACGACCACATTAATATTAATAGATTTATACTATTACATGGATTCTTTAAAAATTCATTTTTAAGTTTTATCAAATTGTTTAATATAAAACATCTTTCTTTTTTTTACCAGTGGTCACTCAAAATTAATTAATTCTCAAAAAAGTCTGTTAACAGGTATACATGTATAGTATAGGATGAAATAAAGCCGAATAATTTATCGAATATATTAACTTAAAGTTTATTTTCAAAATCAATAATGCCACCCCAAATGATCTTCAAATTGCTAAAAAGGTACAATTAAAATTTAAAGAATGCCATGATATCGCTTCTTTTTATATGCACTGTTATCTGCTGTTCACAATTAGCCCGTGCAGTTGCAGTTACATGTAGCTATGTGTTTGTTTATCTGCGAGATTATATCAGTCATTTGGTTTCATTTAGAAAAGTACCATTACTTCTGTATACATATCTGTTATAAATAATAGTATGAAAAACGATGATAGATAGTGATACATAATTACAATTAAATTTTAACAAAACACGCCTAAGTGTAGGAATACCGTTGCTCCATTATTATGCGCTACACTGTAAAACTATGAACTAAATATCGACGATTTTTTTTGTGGGGGGGGGGTTCTTGTTAATAAAATAATCACAGGTATTTCTATTCAGAATATCAATAATATCATAGCTAGTATTTGAATGTATTTCTATTTTCTGCTCTTTTCGAAAATTACTAAAATCATGTTTATGAACATAAACAAATTTCAGATTTCTCCGGTTCAAATAAAACACAAACACAAATATGGGCCCTTAAAATATTTGAACGCACAACACAGAAATTAACTTATTTTAATCAGCAAGTTGCCATGCTTCAAGTTTTCAGATGTCTGTGTAACCGTTCGGTTTTCCTCAGGTAAGTTTGGTGTGAAGTGGAGCTTACTCGAAGCGGATGAGAAGCCCCGAGGGAACGACGCTGTCTAGTGTACATACTACCTATATACACAGGATGTTACCTGAGTGTATTACCTGTATGCGTTTTCCTACGACATTGTAAAACGAAGCCGTTTTTAGCCGGGCTCATTGCTCGTAGAGCAATGCCCGGCTATTGCGATGGTGAGCAACAGAAAATTCTGCTTCTTCACCGCGAAATTGAGTTTACGAGTAAAAATATAGTACGTACGGCCCGCCGCTGTTGAGAAAACAAAATCCATTCAAACACCTTAAGAAATAGTAAATTGAATATTTTTATAAAAATATTAAAATTGTTTAATATTTTTCCTGGCTTCTTTAACTAATATTTTATAAAGCAATTCAAAAGTAGCGAAAGGTTTTCACCAGGTATCCCTGTCTGCGTCATATTCTATAAATAAAGGTTTTACTATCAGGCTAACACAAATGCAGGGAACATCATCAATGACTTGATGCAAAACTCCCCGCTGAGGGCACATCAGTGCAGAGTCGTTTGACCTTAATTAATCTTGCTGCTTCGGTGTTTATTTATAAAACCGGTTACCCCGAAACGATACATGTGATAAA